GAATTTGTTTAGAAAAAAAATATTATCCTTTCCTCGATTTCGAGAATTATTTATAATAATTTTTTGACAAATCTGGATATCATTCCATTGATAAAAAAATTTGTATGGCTCTCTTGAATTCTTTGAAAAAAAAAAAAATAATAAAATTAACATTTCAAATATAATTCTGAATTTGTTGAAAAAAAAAATATTATCCTTTTCTCGATTTCAAGAATTATTTATTTAATAATTTTTTGACAAATCTAGATATCATTGATAAAAAAATTTGCATATAGTTTTCTAGAAAAACTTTCCTTGAATTGAATTCTTTGAAACAGAAATATTAATATTTCAAATATAATTCTAAATTCTAAAAAAAAAATATTATCCTTTCAAGAATTATTTATAATAATTTTTTGACAAATCTATCGACAAATATCGTTCCGTTGATAAAAAAATTTGTATGGCTTTCTAAAGAAACTTTATTATTATTATTATTATTATTTATTCATTTTTTAAAATACTACGTGAAAAAAATATTTTATAAAACTTTACACAATGTAAAGTGTATTGGAACACGAAGTAACACGAAATAACAGCAGGTATAAAATAATAGGCTAATGTCCGAGGAAAATAATAGTCGGGATAATAAAAGTTGCTAACCAAACTTTGTTCAGCCTATTTTACGACCACCCATTGTATTGATTAATGTTGATGGTATGAAGCTCGTATTTTCCACTACAATACTATTCTACAGTCTCTTTCAACGATGAACGAAGATACGAAGAATTTCACAAACAATTCGTAGTAATTTTAAAAGAGGAATAATAATAAGAAATTTATTATCAACTAATTAAGAAAATTCTATAGTTCCTTTTATGATGCGAAAAAAAAAGTACATATATATATATATGATAAAATAAAAGAATCACTTTTAAAAAATGTGCAATGTCATTTATTTTCACAGAGAATAGAATTTTATCGCACGAAGAGAGATTTAAAATTGGTTGTGTAATGGATGATAATGGATGAGTGAAAAAGTTGATCACAAGATTCTTCTCTTCTTTAATCCTCACCTTTCGAGTCATATTTCAAATTCACTCGAAAATTCTAAACTATCCTATGAATTAATCCATTGCACAATTTTTCTTTCAAACCATCAAACTGATCGAGTATCAAGTATTCCTTTTCAACTCGACTCCATTCGACTTATTGTACAATATAACCTTCTATTATATTTAAAGAAAAAAGAAACTTCGTTGACTTCGCCCCCTCAAAATCGCTCCACGTACGTGATCCATTGTGCGCAAGAATCAATTTGACATTAAGAAAAATTCCAAAAAACATTCTCGATCCGATAAAATTCTCCTGAAGCAGACCAAGAGAAAATAAAAAAAAAAATCGATCAGCAGACATGTCGAAGAACGGCGAAGAGGAGAATCGTGCCTCGTTCGATCGAGGGATCCCCCGCGACGACGACACCCCTCCCCTGAATTACCACCGATCGATCGACAATTGGTACGTGGTGTGCCCGAGGGACACAGATCGCGCCTCCTTCTACCTCGAAAGCATCGAGTTCGCGAACGAGTTCCGGGACAATCGTCTGTGGCCATCGTGCGACGAGCCAGCACCGCGTCCAACGAGAGCGAAAATCCCGAAACAGAGCAGAAGCAATTCGGTCGATCAACGCCGTCGTTCCAGCGTGCAATCGAGCCGCTCGAGGACAAACAGCTGCACCGGCAGCAGGCCAACGCCGTTAGGTAGGAGACAATTGGGTCATCGGACTTTACCGATCGATGGCAACACGCATCGCGGTTTGTCTCCCGATTCGAGGTGGAATTTTGTCTTACTTTTCGATTTCGCTCGCGTGGAAAATTCGTTTGCTAAAAACGATGTTGTTTAATTTTGATGTTGATGTTAAGAACAGTGTTTGATAAGCCGAGGTATTCGAAATTTTTAGATTTTTTTTAAATTCGATTCGATTACTTCGTTCGTTCGTTGTTTGTCAAAATTAAAAAAATTCAAGGAAAGGTTTATTCGTTGTTTCGATAGAAAAACGAAGTTTTGGCGGATTAATTTTTTTTGCAATGGTAAATTTTTTTAATATTTTAATTAATGGTTTGGTTTGATATTGTTATTTTTTTTTTTTTCTAGGAAAAAATATACATATTATTTCCTTTATTTTCATTTTTATTCTTTGAAAGAGAATCGTGTATCAAAAAACGTTGATATATTTTTTATTCATTTTCCATGTATGATCCTTTACATAATATTGAATCACGCTTAATCAATACGATGAAAAATTAACGTATAAAATTTCTCGATTATTTGCATCGCTTTTTCAATATTAATTTCTGTATTATACTTTTCGTTAACGATTCGTACTTATACCATTTCAAACGGTTAAGCACGTGGTTTAATATTTTACGTTTATTATCTCTGGCGTGATATAAGAACACAAAATAAATTAAATGAATCAAGCGAAAAATTGGGTCTCATTGAACCGACACAAACTTCATCAAAAATAATAATAATAATATTATTATTAACTGTAAAAATAATGAAAAAAGAAATGCACAATATATATATATATAAGATTTATATCATGGAAAGTAAAATATATCTAAAATATATTATATACAATATATTCATCATCGGTCATATTATTCACCGATATGAAGTTTGTGCCACTTGTGTTATGATAGGACCCAAAATGCAATGATCATTCAAAAGAAGAAAAAAAAAAAAAAAAATGTCCAGGGAATGGTAGAAGAGGTAGCTCGAGTAGAAGGACGAAAGTACGAAGGGCGAGTTCCGCTCGTAGAAAGGATTCTGTCCGGCCTCTAAAAACGGAGGTGAAAGAGGCGCAGAAGATCGTGGAGGATGAACGAAGTTTAGAGCAGGCGAGGCGCCATCGAAGGATCGCTATGATCATCGTGGAACGTTTATTTTCCTTCTGGTGGCTTCCGTACTCGTGGTGGTGGTTACATTAACTCACAGCACGTTTCTGAGCCCGCCTATGGGCTCCAAGGAGCTTGCTGAGCATCGAGCTCAGACGTAAACTATCATTTTGAAATACCTTATCGTTCGAATTTGATTTTGAGAGAAATGATATTTTTAGAAAATAATATGTGTTCGATTGAAATTTGAATCGATTATTATAATTTAAGAAAAAAATAATTTGTTTTATATATATATATATTTTTATATTCTTCAGTTCAAATTCTAATCAATAGACTGTGGGTTTTTGTGTAACAAAAATATCTTCAAAATATATCCACTGTATATACAGAAACTGTGTCACAATATGCGGAACACGCTTCGTATCATAATAAAAATCTACCGCAACGTCATGCAATGAAACTTTGAAATTTTTTATATAAATAAAAAAAAAAAAAAAAAAAAAAAACACGCGAAAAACTTATTCAGAAGAAATAGAGAAAATCGTGCCATTGAAGTCACTTTTTGTTTTATTCCGATATCTGGATCGGTTGCCGAGATATAAGGACTCAGGGTCGCTTAAGGCACTGCGGGAGTTATGAATGGGACCGCGACCCAGTGACCTATATTTCTTCCTGGAAATGAGTACTACGCTTTTCCAAGAATTGTGTCTGTCATTTGCTTAGCATTGGTCAGCGACTAGACTAAGCGAGTCAGAGATCCGTGTAACGAAAATAGTAAAAAGGGAACCTAAAAAAAAATTATCCTTTTCTTTACACGACGATATCTCAGGAACCGGAAGTCGTATCGAGATAAAAAAAAATGCGTTTTGAAGAAGAAGGTTCTGCGCTTCCAATAATCGCTCACTCGTTGACCGGAAATCATTATCTTCGAAGTTATAGCGATTCAAAGTTTTTCTAATTTTAATACAATTTCTACAGTATATCGCGATAGATCACAAGGAGGTGCGAGCGAAAAGTCCGAATAAGTGACAAAGATGGAAATAGTAAAGAATTAAAAATTACTCTTTTCTTTACACGATGATATCTCACGAACCGGAAGTCGTATCGAGATAAAAAAAAACTAGTTTTAAAGAGGAAGGTTCCCCGCTTCTAATGATCTCTCATCTATTAACTGGGAATTACTATCTTCAGAGTTATAACGGTTTAAATTTTTTTTAATTTTAATAGAGTTTGGTCGAGTTTCAAGTAAATTACGAGATAAATATTTCTATTTCTGGAAAAATATTATTTACTAATCAATTACTTAATCAATTGGATTAATCAAACGGATTTTATGATTTTTATTATTTTTGTAATAGAAGCTTCTGTATTTATATCACTCATATATAATACGAAAAATATATATCTACATGAAAATCTGCAGTCTAAAAATTAGTATATTGAAATAATAAATCTTAAATAATGTGATATTTAAAAAATATATATATATATATAAATTTTATGTATAATAATATAGTTTTATTTTTTGTTCAATTTATTTAAATAAGAATGATCTAAATTTATCTAAAAAAATATGTGTATTTGAATAGTTATTAATCTAAATTGCATAATTAATAAAGGAAAAATTAGAATAATAGAATAAATTATAACAGTATCGATTCTGTGAATAAATGAATATTTAATTAATTTCAATATCAAAATTACGACTTTTTCGCTAATAAATTATTAACAGTGAGTGAAATCAGAATTTATATAGGAAAAAAAACTATGTTACAAATATAATTTTGTTATTATTTTAATTTAAATGTAATTATTTTTATCTTAAAAATATAATTTAATTTTCTAAAATATATTTATTATCAACGATATTTATATAAGATTTCTATAAGAATATAGAAAATTTCATAAAATAATATTGAAAAGAAAAGCGGAAAAGTGTTCGAAGTATTCCCGATAGATAATATTTTCATTTAAGCAAAATTGTAACAACATATCTGATTTCACTCAACATTTTCATGCAATAATATTTACAAAATGAAGTGTAAATATTAAATAAAATTAATAACACCACTTGGAAATTACACAAAATTAACAGTGTGATATTCTAATCGATTTCAGTGCGCAGAGAAAACGAGGAGCTGTTGAATTCCCTCAACAGAGTCTTCGTAACTGAAAACTCAACAATGACACTCTGAAGAAACTGTTTTCTAAGGAAGACGAGTGGCCTGTTTTGATGCGTCTTTCGAACAAGTTTGAAATTGAGGCAAGAAGCAAAAGAAGAAGAAGAAGAAAAAGAAGAAAAAGAAAAACTATCGCTTAACTTCGAAATAGAAGCAGAGATCAAGGATCGTTTTTCAAAGGCAGGCAAAGTTTTATTACAATTCCATTTTATCCAAGACGTACAGTTAGGTGTAGCGAGGAAATGGCCAAATTTCATTTGTCAATGTCGACACGAGGCTAATTTGTCCTCTCCGCCGATAGAGTACGAACTTCGAACTAAATCTATATAACAAGATGGTGTTGACATCTGTAATTCTGTCCTCGTTATTTCGAAGGTACGTCCAACCTCACTTTTTTTCATTGAAGCGTATAATTTGATGGATATTCTCTGAGAGGAATCGAATATTATAACACTGTCTCAAAAATTCTTTTCGTGTTTTTTTTTTTTTTTTTTTTTTTTTTTTATTACAAATCTATCGTATTTTTCCAGAACTTTCGCGATTTCGATGATCGATGGATCATACGTAATACAATGATATTTTGTCGTCTGTGAAATTTTATACAATTTGTACACAAATTGATTAGTGATATTCCATCTATTATTTTTCCAAAATGACTTTGATTTTTATTCGAAACATTCAAAACGATTATTAAAATTATATCGATTTATTAATTTTAACCATGATTTATAATTATATCAATAATTAATAAAAATATGTTTTATGTTACGTTTTATAGAAGAATATTTCAAATATTTAAAGAGTAAAGTAATAATAAACGATTAAAATAAATGCATAAATAGACGAATGAATAAATATATTAAGTAGCATTAGTTAATGGTCACGTGGCGCTAGTGTCGCGTCATCATAGTGTTATATCAGATTTTTAATATTAAAGAATTTATTAAAATCAAGTCCATTTTATTTAATATAATTGTACAAGAATAGACTATAATAATCTATTCAACTTGTAATTCAATAATTTTCTAATATTATTGATTGATAAATTTCACGAAAAGATACTTATAACAATGTCAATAATTTCTTAAATATCCAAATAAAAAGAATTTTTGAGACAATCTAATAATATACAGGGTGTTTCCTGTTTTCCCATCAAACTGCAGGAGCACAATCTATATATGAAAATAAAAAAGATATTAATATATTCTGATGACAGAGATAGAACCGAGTATTTCCATTTTATTTCATTTAAATTAACTTTCTTGTTTGTTTTGGCTTTTAGAATCGATCCTTCAAAGATGTCTCATGAATATATTAATATTATATGAAGTTTGTAAACGTTTTCATGCAAAGTTATAGATTAGTTGTACATTAAAATACATGCAACTTAAATATTTGCATAATTTTGCATTACAATAATTCGAAATTTCATTTTTTGAGATAAAAATGTGAACAATTTAAACGATCAAAAATTTATAAACAAATTTTATAAGTGTATATAAATAAAGTAAAAATCAATTCAATACTGAATCTGTTATTAACGCATTTATGGTGCGTTTAATATTAGCTTACAACTTTGTAACATTTTAAAAAAACTTTTATATTTTCATTTATAGATTGTACAACTTTTGCACAACGGTTCTCTTCATATACCAAAATTAAAATTAAAATTAAAATTAAATAATTAAAATATAGGAATCAATCTTTTCTCTTTGACAAAAAATATATATACTTTTCCTATATTATTTCAGAAGAAAAGAAAATCAATATTTTCTTTTCATTTCTTGTAACACTTTCATTACTCCTATAATTACTCAAAATTGAAACAACAAGAATTAAGATTGGAAATATACTTTGCTTAAAAATCCATTATATTAATTACCATTAGTTGAGAACCACTGTTTCTGCAGTTTTCTTAAAAGTTGGAAGCATCCTGCACAGTCGTGTCAAAAAAAAAGAAAGAAAGAAAAATTAAATAAGATAATAAGAATCCACAAAAAAAAAAGTTATCTGCGACGATTATATGTAGATACAAAGTCGCAATTGTTAGTTTATTGTTGTTATTGGCGCGGCAAATGGATGACCGTGTGAGCCTTGTTACGAAGCTGCGTTGTATCGTTCGTTCGATGCACGAGAAATTCTATTCCAAATAAAAATAACACTGAATTTCGATCCCACATCGTATAATATCGACAACGAAGAAAGGAATGTTTAAAAAAAAAGAAAAGAAAAGAAAAGAAAAGAAAAGAGAGGAAAAGAGTTCGCGAGAAACTCGATTTTAAAATTCCTTGTTGGAAAAAGAAATCCAAACAATCAGTATTCCTGAGACAAAAGTGTAACCTTGCTGTTGTTCCATCGATATGCGTAAATGAAAGTGTGTTGTAGATACATATACATATACAGGGTGTTCCATTTGAAATCGTCTCTTAAACTGTTCATTTTTTTCAAAAGAATGTTACGAATGAAAATTGCTTTCTGACGGATGCAAATCTTAAATCTTAAATGTCTTAAATCCTGATGATGAATGAGATTTCAAGATGAAATCTTGTTTTTTTTTTTTTTTTTAATTGGAATCAATGTCTGAACATTTACTTTCATTCTTTTAAATTTCTTTAAATTTCGTTTATCTGAATATTTCATTTCGATTCTGTTGTAAACATAATTTGAAATTAATGATGATCGCGAGAAACAAAGCAATTTTTGAAATATTTCTTTTTTCGAAAAATGAATTTTAATTTAGGAAGAAATAATGGAACACGGTTGTATATTTATAATTTTATTTCAAATTATAGATAGAGTATAAAGACTTTGATATTTTGATTCCTATTAATGCTCGAAATTGAATAAATTATTTTTTTTTCCTCTTTGTTATTATTCCAAATTAAGAATAAGCTTAATTATTATTAGAAGAAAAAATTTGTAAATAATCGATTTTCTTTCTCTAATTACATACGATTGATTTCTCGATTGTAATTGATTAAATTTGATTTTATTTTACCGAGAAATGTAGAGTGGTTATAATTTTCGTTCGTAATTAAAAGTGTCTTCCAATTTAGAGGAAACGTGACAAGTAGTTGTTAAAAGAGTGAACTGCTCGATTCCTTTTTCCCAAGGAAGATGGATCGTGAAGAAATCTTTCGAATTAAATATTTATTATACGAAGCATTGATCGTTAGAAAAGTAGCCGGAATAATTGCTGTTGCCAATGAGAAAGAATTATATTATTCTGGTATCGTTTTAAGAGAAGAAATGCAGGGAATGTTGGATTTCGCGTATTAACAAGAATATCGTCACGATTTAAATATTTTGCACTTAAAAATAAATTTTGTTTACATAAACCATCATTAGATTAAATGTTACAAAAAATCTATTTTATTCTTCCAACATAATTTAATTTTTTTTTTTTTGAATACGTATTTTGAATAGATTTAAATTTAAATCATATATAGTTACAATATTTTTTAATTTTTTTATAGAAATCGAAACGTAAATTCGATGATAAAATTACAGATATATTGTAATAAATATATACCTTGTGAAACAAGATTTTCATGCAATAAAATAATAATGTTGAATAAAATTAGTAATATAAAAAACGATAGAGGAAAAAGTAAATTTTAAATTTCAATTTTTTTCTCTGTGTAGAGAGTTAATTTTTTTGTAAACAATTCAACGAAACAATTATTAAAATAATATTTTTCATAATAATCGTGACAATTCTCCTGTTGACGTACACAATTTATACAATTTGTACAACAGTAATTTAAACGGAATTGAAATCGAAGCAAACAATACCTACAACACAGAAAGCCTGATCGATTCATCAATGGATAAAATTGTTTGATTTCGCTTGAAACTCGTTTGAATAAACTATTTTACGTCCATAAGATGCGTATCAACGTCGACTGTTTACCAATGAGAGAACAGCTTTTGTCGCGACAGTGTTGCTCGAGTGGAACTTATCGATGCCGCCATTTTAGATCTCATCACCATTTTAGATTTAGTCAAAGTGTCAAAGGATGGATCTGAACATTGGCAAGCGTTAATGTTTTCGTCGTGTAACCTTGTAAGCCGTAGCTTCTGAGACCTCGCCGTTTAGAACAATGATTAAATAACGATTTAAAAGGTGTCTCTTATAATTTTGCCAGAAAAAAGAAAAAAAAAAAAAAGGACGCGAAACGAATAAAACTTTGGATACTTATAACGGTGATGAATCGTTAAGTATCGTCGAAACGAGAATTCGTTTAAGAAGAATTGTAATTGATAATCAATTTGTGAAAGGATAGAACTTTTTCTTCGTCGAAAAAAATTTTTATCTTTCGAATTATGAAAAATATACGAAGCAAACGTGTAATTCTGCTAAATTTGAAACAAATTGAAATGAGAATTGAGGAACTTTTTGGAAAAGGATATAAAGAAAAATTTTATTCGATATTATTATAATTATTTTCGAAATGTTGTAATTAATTTTTTAATTGTAATAGATATACTTTGAGATATTTTTGATTAATATAATAAATCTGAATCTAAATTTTTTCTTTAATTTCTTCTATTCTTCCTACGTGAAATAAAATTTGTAATCTCAAATTATAGAGTTTTGATCTCAAAAATTTATTTCTGTATTCTTTATTCTTATATAATATAATTCTTGCATTATCGGAATTTTTATAAATATTTTATAGTAAAATATTTTAAAATATAAAATAGAAATATATCTTGATCATTAAGATATTAAAAAATAATCCTCTTCTAGAAAGCTTCTCAATTATTTCTAGTATACGTTCTGACATATGTGCAATTAAAATTCGAATTCGAGAACATTGCAAGAGAACGTGGCACATTCATTTGTGAAATTATATATAAATTAAAAAAAATTGTTTATAAAATTTTTACCTAATAATCTAACATTTAAAAATGTGACACTAATTAAAAACAATAAACGTTTTCACACAATAAAAATATAACAATATAACAATAGTTAATGGACAATACAACACATCGTTTATCGTTACTTTATCAATCAAAAATATCATCTTTTGTTAGATGCAAGAGAGAAAAAGAATTTTGCATTCTCTATTTCACAAAACGATT